CATTAAAGTTGTGAGTGAGCGATTTGGCTACTGCATCAATTAGTTTGCTCTGGAGCAATGCTCCCTCTAAGCTGTGGAGTCTTGTGAGCAAAAATTCTACTTGGTGAGCTACTGGTATTAAAGTTGTGAGTGAGCGATTTGGCTCCTGCATCAATTAGTTTGTTCTGGAGCCATCCTTCCTGGGTGAAGACAAAAATGTGTGAGCCGGAGGCTAAAAAACTGTGAGATAGCTCACACTAACTCAGCTGAGAGGGAACACTGGACCCCACCCTGCCCCTGGACATTTCTCTATCAAAAGATCTTGCAGTTCCTCTGAAAGCCCTCAGATTCGTTGAGTGAGGAGACTCACTTCAGATTTTGCTGTACACCAGATTTCTGTGGCAGCTCAATGGGACTGTTTTCAATAAACGGGCGATGTCTTTACCTCTCTTCCCCCCCACCCCACAGCTTTTCTATCCACTTTCAGAAAGGAGGGCAGACCAAGTCGTGCTGGCTCTGCTCACCTTATAAATGACACCACGTACATCGAGGTTCTGCAGGAGGAGTATAGTCATGGTGTATAATTCCTGGGGTGGCAGAGAACAAAGTTCCTTCACAGCATCGGCAGCACCGTCTTCTGCGGGAAACGTTAGCAAAGGGCGAAGTGCTTCCGCATCGCATCTTCCCACCAACGTGGCTGTGAGAGCTTTGGAAAGGAACTATCAAAACAAAAAGAAATATATGTTTAAATAACAACTGAAGGAGAGAAGGGGAAAGCGGTGGCAGCGACACCATCATAAAAGTTGCAACGGAGGAGTCTACGCACACTCCCAAAGTGGTCCCTCTCCTCGATTTATGCTCAGAGAGAGAAAAATGTGGGCATTTGCCCAGATAGAGGTCTTGGAGAACAATGGGTCATTGTTCCCTGTGTATGTTTTCAGAAGATACGAACCATTCATCCATTTCATCAACAGGGATTGCCGTATTGCCACATGAGGGCGGCCATTTTACCCGAGCGTTCAATATTTTTAACTCAGGTTTGTTATTATGCATTTTGTTTAAGTATTTTGAGTCATTCCGGCTCCTTCCTCCTTTATCACTACTTGGTTACCTATCTTAGAATATCTGAAACAATTTGATGACACCCACAAGGAGATTGATGCTCTACAATTGTGGTAAGAGACAAGATAACAGGTGACTCAGAGATAAACATTTATTGTTCTAACTCAAACTGATTTCATTCACCTTAAGATAAAAGGTTTAAATGATTTGGTTAAATATTGTTTTTCTAACACGCATATGCACAGTATAATTGTAACCTTATTTTGAAAAGTTCCTATTAACTTGAATAAGTTGACATTGAACTTAAATATGTCTATATGCTCACACATGTTAATTATTTACACTGTTGTACTCATTTATAAAATCATTAAAATTTATTGTATAAGTATTTTCAGTCATGCAATGGAGGTTATAAAAGGGACCCACCCACCCCCAATTGATGGCCCTGGCTAGTCTGACCTCATCGGAACTGGGAAGCTAAGCAGGCTCAGCCCCGGGTTAGTACTTGGAGGGGAGACCGGACCACTAAGCAAGTCCAGGGTCGCAATGCAGTGGCTGGCAAGGGCAGAACCACCTCCGACTGTCTCTCGCCTTGAAAACCGATTGGGTCACCATAAGTCACCTGTGACCCGATGGCACTTTCCACACAGATAGCGATCCCACACTCGAGCCACCCAGGTTCACTCCTAGACCTGCAAAACCTGGTCAAGCTCCGCCCACTGAACACTGAAGGGAACACTGTCCCTTGGCCCTCCCCCATTGACTCTTTCCTGGTTCTGTCCACTAACCCAAGGATTTTCAGAACTAAGTTAGCAATGGTACGGGAGACACGATCTTCACCCTTATAAAAGACCCCCCCTTTTTTTAATCATCTCAGGCAGAGATGTTTAAAGAATAAAGTTTCAGTCCAGTGGCACCTCTAAGGCCAATAAGTTTAATTCTGGATATAAGCTTTCATGTGCACGCACGCTTAGCATGCATGCACACAAAAGCTCATACCCAGAATTAAACTTTGTTGATCTTAAAAGTGCCAACATGGCTACCCACCTGAACCTATCTTCAGAGATGTTTAAAGTGACACAGTGACAGAACCAATCCTATCTAAGACCAAGAAGCAACCTCGACGTTCTAATCACTGCACAGGATCAGGTCATTTTCCACAGCATCGAACCCTAATTGGGTGTCTCCTGTTAAATATTCTCCTATAACTACCATCGTGCCCTATATCCCTGCACAGCCGCCTCACACGATCCTGGGCTCCTAAGTAACCCTACTCATTCTCCTTTGGTATTCTGAGGACATAACTTAAAAATTCAGTCCTGAAATGCAGCGTTATTCAAAAGAAGAGGGAGTTTCTCGTCAAATTCCCTTTTACTGGATCTTTTTGTCTGCAGCTAGCAAAATCAATTAAGAAGCAACAACACTGGTTACTCTCATTACCGAAGGAGCAGGAAAACAAATAGAAATCAACTAAAATTAGAATTATGCTTGTCTTGGAAGAAGATCCCAGATCCAAACTGAATCTTAAACAGTGAAGCTTCCCGATGAAAGGGAAAATAGGTCTATTGGACCCCCCCACACACACCCTTTGCTAGTAGAACACCAGTGACATCCAGTGGCCACTCGGCTAATCTTGCAATCCACATCGCCCTCGTTCTTATTTCCCTCTAATAAGCACAGGAATAAATATGCAAAGGTAAGAGAATACCATTGGTACTCCGCACACTTTTTAACTGACCTGGAAAATATAAATTGCCTTGGGAGATAATGCCATTCCAAGCCAGATGGGCACAGGAAGCAAAAAGACACGAGGACGTGGCTTCCGTGGGGCCACATTCCTGATACCTTCAAGGTTCTAGGAAACTTTTAGGGATGCATCATAGTGGAGCTAAACCAGAAGAGACATCCCTTCTGGGACAGCAAAGCAAAAGTAACTCAGAATCCGTCCTGCACAGACAGATCTTTCACAAGACCTGCCACCAGAGGGTGAAGAAACAGGCTGGGCAGAGATCTCGGCACGGTGTACAAGGTAAATTGCACATAGGGGCAGCCACAATTTGGAAAAGAGCCATGCAAGTCCATAAGAGAGGATTTAACATCACAACCCACCAACCCCGAAGCCCCTTGGCTTTGGGAATTGAAATTGGGTTTCCTAAGCTGTTATTAGAGTGTTCTAAAGGGGGCAAGTCAGGTTTTTTAAGTCTCCCCCCGCACCCTTTAAAACAGTGCCTGATTTTGATTGGTAAAACTGAGTGGAACTTGAAAGGTTAAATCCACTTCTCCATTGCCACACGGGCTCAATCCGAACTGCGGCTTGCCTGCACACAAAACTGATTTTTTTACAGATCCGTAACATTTATTTTGGCCCTGATATCTAACTAGAGATAACAGAGACTGAACCTGAGGCCTTTTTGAATGGCAGTGATTGCACTCTATTCACTGAGCCAGGGCCCCTTCCTATAACACTCAGGGGGAGGAGCTGTGCTATACCAAGCATATCTCTAGTCCATGAATGTCTGGTCTGCAGCATATGATCTGAGCATTTTTATTATATGGCTCCTTTCAATGAGAGCTTCATTTAGCTTCCATATGCTGTCTTCTTAACAGATCTTCCCAGAACAGTGAAAGATCAGATCGAGGATTAGTTAGATTCATGGAGAAGTGGGCTATCATGGTGTCATGGCTCAGGTGGGATGTCCCCTGATGCTGCCACCACTCTGGATTTAGGATCCCTTGAGAAGGCCCAGAGCACCCTCCCAAGACCTTCAGACCTCCCTTTTGGCTGAATAATAGGCGTGAGGACCAGGCAGAGTACAACAAGGAAAAACAGGTTGCTTACCAGTAACTGGTGATCTTCGAGTGGTCATCTGTGCATTCACACCAATGGGTCTAGTGCGCCTGCGCTGGATCAAATCGGTGCTGTAGCAAGCTCTCTACAAGGATTTTCGCGCCCATCCCCTCAGGCAAGCGCAGGGCCCACTGCGCATGCCCAAGGGGGCGGGCGCGGACATCCCACCAGTTCCTTCAAATTACCGCCGCATATCATCATCCAACCAGAAAGCCAGAAGCTGACAGCAGCGGGGAAGGAGGGTGGGTGGTGTGAATGCACAGATGACCACTCGAAGATCACCAGTTACTGGTAAGCAACCTGTTTATCTTCTTCGTGGTCTCTGTGCTTCACACCAATGGGAGATTAGCGATAGACTACTCACCCTTCCCTCAGGATGAGGGTTTCTTCCTGCAGCAGCCTTCCGTCTGGCTCTGCCCTCTGGGAAGAAGAACAGCTTTTCCTGCTGCACAATATCTTTTATTCCAAGCCCTCCTCTTTTCCTATTGGTCAATTTTGTCTCCAAAACCTCTCAGAGGGTTCACCTACTGCTAGCCGGGCTCCCTGGGCCTAGTAGGCCTCTGGTGGCACAGCCCAAATCATGACACATGGCTATTAGACATAATGGCTAAAGGGAACCTGGCACAGCCCAAATCATGACACATGGCTACTAGACATAATGGCTAAAGGGAGCCCCACATTCAAGGACAGTAAACCTCTGAATACCTGTGCCAGGAGGCGACATCGGGGGAAGATTTCACCCTCTGTGCCCTGTTGTTGGCCCTCCAGAGTAACCGGTTGGCCACTGTGTGAAACAGGATGCTGGACTAGGTGGCCCACTAATCTGGTCCATCTGGGCTCTTCTGATGTTCTCATCACTGGGAAGGAGCTGTCACATAACTCTAGAAACATTTTGGGCTTCTAAGGCTGTAACTCCTAAAAACACTTGTGTCATTGGATAAAACGGGACTTAGTTCTGAGTAGGCCTGTTAGGATTGTTCCCCAAGTCTCACTCTTCTCTTCCTTTCTACAAAAAAAATAAAACGTGAATGCTGGACTACTGCATAAGAAACACTCCCCCGCCCACACACTCACACACACACACCATGTACCTTCGGATATGAAATACTGGATTCCATGACCATATCGATAGACTTGTCTGAAATGCTGGTTAAAGACCGGAGCTCTCGGGCCACCTCGGTGGTATTCTGCATGCAATCTTTTATTTTCACATCTGCAACGTTAACACAGAAAGGCACATTTGCCAGAGGCCAGAAATACGCATCCACTTTTCATGCCCCTTTGAACTTCGGGATAAAGAAACGGTTGCTCAGTATCATCATTGATTCAAATGATGTGACTTTAGGGTTGCCAGCCTCCAGGTGGGGCCTGGAGATCTCCCGGAATTACAGCTAATCTCCAGATGGCAGGAGTCAGTTCCCCTGGAGGAAACGGCTGCTTTGGAGGGGGGGGGGCTCTCTGGTATCATATCCTGCTGAGATCTTTCCCCTCTCCAGATCCTGTCCTCCCCCTGCTCCACTCCCAAATCTCCAGGAATTTCCCAACCTGGAGTTGGCAACCCTATGCAATTTGCACGGTCGAGGAAAGCCACAACGGAGTCAGCGCGTGGTAAGGCGATTCACCGGGGGGATGTCTGGTCATGCTACGATGGATTAAAAAGATCGGGATAAAATTCCAACCCGGCATAATGACGGGATTAGCTGCCCATCTAAACGCACCCTGTGTCTTACTTAAATACAAAACATTCCCCTCAGATGTTTTTCCCCCTCAGACATTATTATATATAGTAGCAGGCATAAAGAATTTGGGGTTCACTGCCTTGAGATAGGTTTTGTGGCGAGCGCTGCAATCATTGAGGCAGGAGCTGAATAAAAATAACAAAGATGGTTTATTTATGTAAGAAGAAGTAGTGACAGACTTCACGTTCCTGGGATCCCAGATCACCGCAGACGGTGACAGCAGCCATGAAATTAAAAGACGCCTGCTCCTTGGGAGGAAAGCGATGGCGAACCTCAACAGCATGATAAAAAGTAGAGACATCACCCTGCCAACAAAAGTCCGCATGGTCAAAGCAATGGTATTCCCAGGAGTCATGTATGGCTGCAAGAGTTGGACCATAAGGAAGGCCGAGCGCCGAAGAATAGATTCTTTTGAACTATGGTGCTGGAGAAGACTCTTGAGAGTCCCTTGGACTGCAAGAAGATCCAATCAGTCAATCCTCAAAGAAATCAACCCTGACTGTTCCCTGGAAGGCCAGAGAATGAAACTGAAGCTCAAATACTCTGGCAACCAAATGAGAAGGGAGCACTCACTGGAGAAGAAGACCCTGATGCTGGGAAAGATTGAAGGTCAAAGAAGACGGGGATGGCAAAGGATGAGATGGTTAGACAGTGTCATAGATGCAACGAACATGAAATTGAGCTAACTTCAGAGGACAGCGGAAGACAGGAAGGCCTGGCGTGATCTGGTCCATGGGGTCACGAAGAGTCGGACTCGACTGTGCGACTGAACAACAACAATTACAAGAACACTTCAACAGCACTGGATCTCCAAAACAGACAAAGGAAAAGCCTGACTGAAGCCCTTAAGTTACTGAATACAGCTCCACGTTTGATGTTAAATTCTTTTCAGCGCGTGAAAGGACAGACTTTCCACTCTGAACTGCCACTGGGTTCTACATAGCTCCTGCAATCCCTCAGGACTCTTCCTCAAAGTCTTTAACTTACTAATAGGCTTTTACTGCCTAAGGACCAGGCCGGATCTTTACACAAACACTGAATTCCAACCACACCAGTCTGCCCTTTCCAAAGAGTCACAAGCCCTGTTCACAAATTGCAGTGAACACACATACAGTTCTTGCTTGATGCATTAACTTTCATGTTACATTCACTGTGTACAGCTGAACACGTGATCACAACCCCACATTTATCCAGGGAGTGGTCCCTGGCAGTGTTCCCTCTAAGCTGAGTTAGTGTGAGCTAGCGCACAGTTTTTTATCCTCTGGCGCACACACATTTTTATCTCAGCTCAGGAAGGAGGGCTGCAGAGCAAACTGATTTATGCAGCAGCCAAATCGCTCACTCATGACTTTAATGCCAGTAGCTCACAAAGTAGGATTTTTGCTCACAAGACTCCACATTGGTCCCTGGTTTCATTTGTAAAGTGAACACATGTTAGCGCTTTCTTACAAACAGGTGTATGCACAGACATGCACGTTGTACATGCATTCACTGTAACAAGTGAACATGCAAGATTGAAACTATACCAGTTCTGCACGTTACTCGAGACAGGCCTCAAAACTGGGCACTCCGTCCCCTCCCTGCCAGGCTGCTAGGGGAACGATGTACAGAACCTTCTACTGTCTTGCCCAGGAAGACCTGAGACTACCAGCTCCTGTGCTTCCCTTCGCTCCCAGAGGATGTAGTTATGGCCACTGGAATAAAAAGCCTTAAAAGGGGATTAGATAGATTCATAGAGGACAAGTCAATGGCTACTAGCCACAGTGAAGGAGTGAAACCTCCACATTCAGAGACACTAAACCTCTGGATCCCAGAGCCAGGAGACAATGTCAGGGGAAGGCCTGCACCTCTATGCCCTGTTGTTGGCCCTCCAGAGGAACTGGTTGGCCACTGTGTGAGACGGAATCCTGGACTAGATGGACCACAGTTCCAATCCAGCAGGGCTCTTCTGATGTTATGTTCAATTCCAAAAAGGTGATTGGATGCTGAAGCAGCATCCCTACAGGCTCACATACTTAAACAGATTGGCTGCTTTGCCTACTAGAGTGGTAGGGTCGTCAGCTGTGGGTTGGGAAATACCTGGAGATTCGGGGAATGGATCCTGAGGAGGGTGAGGTTTGGGGAGGGGAGGGGAGGGAATTCAGGGGGGTATAATGCCACAGAGACCACCCTTTAAAGCAGCCATTTTCTCCAGGGCTCTGTCACCTGGAGATCAGTTGTAATCAGTGTTCCCTCTAAGCTGAGTTGGTGTGAGCTAGCTCACAGTTTTTTCGCCTCTGGCTCATGCATTTTTGTCTTAGCTCAGGAAGGATGGTTCCAGAGCAAAGTAATTTATGCAGTCGCCAAATCGCTTGCCCACAACTTTAATGCCAGTTGCTCACAAAGTGGAATTTTTGCTCACAAGACTCCACAGCTTAGAGGGAACATTGGTTGTAATCCCAGGAGATCTCCAGCTACCACCTGGAGGTTGACAGCCCTATTTAAGAGCAAGGGTTACCAACGTGGTGCTCATGGGCACCACGGCACCTGCCAGCATTTCTTCTGGGTCCCGCCAAGTGACAGTGGTTTTAGAAAGCGGCTTTACTCTGAATCATTATTTTCATCCCGTCAAGTCCTGGAAAGCAACCCATCCCACAAACACTCCTGTAGCAGCTAGATCTGTCTATTAGGAGAAAGGAAGGATCCAAGCATAGGCAACTTTCGCGTCGGAACTGACTCGCAGATGTCAGTCCCGACAATATACTGGGGACAGGAAATCCCCCCAAACACCCCTTAGCCAATCAATGTTCCCACTGTAGTAGAGATGGGACTGTATAGATTTATTAGGTTTATTAGAGAGCTAACTTTTTATTGGAATATAATGAAGGCCTGGTATATAGAAGGCCTCTTGTCTTTCCTGTCAAGGGGATTTTTCCAGTTGCGGAGACAGACAATAACATTCTTTTAGCACAAAAGGTTCATGGTTCTAATTGTTTAGGTTATAACTGCATAGTGTCTGGGTCACAATGGATCTTTTCCTTGTTATCGGAGAAAAACACTTTTGTTTGGGTGAGAACAAGCCTTGGCCGATATGACTTAGGTTATGTCAAGTAAATATGTGACGCTATTGCATAGGCACACCTTTCTTACATTAGACCAATAAGGGAATTTTTATGTAAATGTTGTTTAAGTTTCTGTAACCAATTATGCCTTTTGAATATTATTCCCATGATGGTGATGATATGATGATGTCATTTTAAGTATTTAACTTCATGTATTTCCTGGTTGGGCTCAGAAAGCAGTCAGTTTTGATGGGTCTTTTGGCCTAACTGTTTTCCGTATTTCATTGCAATAAAATACAAGAACTTCCTCCTCATTTTGACTTCAATCTTCTATTTTTGACTGGATATTAATTTGTACTACACCACTCAGCCTGCCAAACGTTTGCTCTGCCCATAACCACTGCCCCCTAACATCTGCAGACTGACAGTCACACTATCTAGAAGCTGCTTAGACTACCAGGTCACATCAAGTGATGAGATCACATTCTTCCCAAGGCGTACCCGGGAGGCTTCTGCGTGAGAACTGTTAGACGCTGGCACTAACCAAGCCAAGCCGAGATTCACTCCCCCCCCCCCCAGTACATAGTACAGATAAGCCAGGCAAGGAATATGGAAAAAAACCATATGATTGTGAGAACATATTACGTAAGCAAAAGATGCTTGGCAAGCAAGGCCCGAGTTTGACACAGCCTCTTCATTTTAAGGTCTTGCATGTTGCTTTTAAACGAGCGTGCAACTGTGAGCCAGTGACTCGACACACCTTGATTATTTTGCAAGCTTTCACAAGGAGCCCAAAGAGCTTACCAGTGGGCAGGCTGAAGTTGTGAAGGAAAGCCATCAGCGGATTGCCTGCCACGGGCGCCTGTAGGGCTTCTGCTAACCTGAAACACAAAACGGTTTTCAGAAAAAGGTGCTGTTTGCCTATTAGTAGTACACGTTTATGGAAAAGTCAGGTCACAGGATTCCACCACGCTCCAAAGCAATCAGTCCTCAATTGCTGCCACTGAGTTGGTGGGGGGAAATGCCCCCAAGTCACAACCGACTTGACAATCCTATTGGGTTTTCTTTTCCAGGCACGTCCAGGGACGTTCAGAGGTGGTTTGCCATGGCCTGCCTCTGCATAGCAACCCTGGACTTCCTTGCTGGTCTCCCATCCAAGTACTAACCAGGGCTGGCCCCGCTTAGCTTCTGAGATGTGATGAGATCCAGCTAGCCTGGGTTATCCAGGTTAGGGCATGCCACTCAGTTATGTGGGAATAAATCTCCCCCTGCCAAAGATATTGGTTTCAACAGGCATATTTCACCCCCAGCCCAATACCATCCCTAGGTACACTCTGTATGCTTTCTTCCATATAACTGAACTGCTTCCCTTTGCACCTATGTGGAAAAACAATATCACAGTTGATGCAAACCCTCCTGGTAGAGCCAGTTTGGTGTAGTGGTTAAGTGTGGCGGACTCTAATCTGGGAAAACCGGGCTTGATTCCCCACTCCTCCACATGCAGCTGCTGGTGTGACCGTGGGTCAGTGATAAGTTCTTTTAGAGCTGTTCTCTCAAGGGCAGTTCTCAAGAGAGGTCTCTCAGCTCCACCTACCTCACAGGGTGTCTGTTGGGGGGAGGGGAAGGGAAAGGAGATTGTAAACTGCTCTGAGACGCCTTCGGGTAGTGAAGGGCGGGGTATAAATCTAGTCTCTTCTTCTTCTGGTATTCACCAATGGCAGCCCCATGGGGCAGGGTTCTGCGGGTCTCTCTACAGGGGTGCAGTGTGTCTCTATGCACTCTGCACACATCTCAGATGTCCTTGCCGAACAATATAAAGAGGCTCTACTTCCACATGCATACAGCACATAATAAAAAGCAGCATTTAGCTAGTCTTATAATGAACGTAAGTAGCTCTGTGGCTAATGAAGGAAGGCTCTGCAGTCAAATGATCTTCTGAAAAGCAGACGGTTCGCCTGCCATTCCATCAGTTATACAGTGAGGCTTTGGCAATTAGGAACACTCCCGATTACCCATCAAATCGAGAGGAAACAATAACAGTACAGTGTCTGAGAACCCTGTTCAGTGGGTAACCATGGGAAAGTACGGGAGAGGTTTACATTTCCATGTGTCTTTGGATGCTTTCGGAGTCACGTCGGCATTCACAGTTTTTACTGGTGGCGCTGTATAAGCCTCTCTGGAACTCTGCCAAAGTAGCTGAAAGCTTCTTTTTTAGATATACGAAGTTTTCACAGATCCCTCGAGCGGAAGACGACAATGTGTTTTCCGTGTGCTGCAAAAAAGGGGGGATTAATGCGTAGTAAGTTAGATCATGCTATATTGTCACAGAGGAAATCCGTGGCCAATTAAATTTATGTGATTGATAAATGAACAGCTTAGTCTGAGAATAAACACAGAGCTCGGGTTGACCATAGCCAGCTGTGTGTACCCTTACTCCCCGTCCTAAAAATTAATGGGGTCTTTTGCTGCTTTGTTCTAGAAACCGCACCCCCCCCTCCTTTTAACTCATTAAAATTGCTCTTATCCTACTTTTCCCCAAAACTAGCTTGCTTAAAGCATCTGGCAGCAATCCAAACCCCCCCCCCCATCATTAGCAAAACCTACCATTAAAAAAACAAAATTACAAGAGTATAATAAAATACATCAAGATAGGCCAGCAGTAACGACATTTATCTAGCTGGATAATCTATGCAATTTTCCCACTCCTCCTCCAAGGAGTTTGAGATGACATATATCCTTCCTTCTCCATTTTGTGCTCAAAACATCTCTGGCTGAATCTGCGTCTGCTGTGTAAAGCAGTCTTGGTCTGTTGTGACACTAATGTACCCCTTTCCCTTCCATTCTGGCTTCGGATAAAAGCTTGCTGTCTGCATCAGACCTCACCATGGGGACCACAGGGGCACACGGGACGGACAGCGTGTGAGAGAGGGGGGAGCAGCGGCCTCCCAGAGCACCAGCAGGGCACTGTGCTGTGGAGAGGAAACAGCACCTGCGACCCCCCCTGCAGAAAGTAAAGGGGGTGACCTGGCAGAGGGGGGCTGGAAAGTGAACGAGCTGGGTAAAAAACACAAAACACCCAGCAGTTGCAAGGTAGGGAGTTCTGGGGAAATAACATGGTTCAGGGGTGGGCGTGCTTCTAACCCACCAGCAAAGTAACATGATTGGAGAAAAACTGGGGGCGGGGGATTTGGCTCCAGTTGTCTGCTTATCGCTCATAGCAACTCAGGGGCGGGGAGAAGCAATTGCTCCAGCTGAAAACCAGATCTACATAACCCGGTGAGACACTGTAGTGACCTTGGAGTCACCACTACAGGGCAATAAAAGGATGCAGACAGCCAATGCTGAGTCGATACAATACGGGAACGGCTGCATCAAGCAATGCAGACAGAGATTTGTGAGACGATTTGGGACCGCCGGCACAGTGGCAGGAAAGACCAATGCAGATTGGACCTCAGTCAGGTAGGCCAAGCTGACAGCGTTGATCCATGGACTCCCAATGAGCTTCAGGGATAACCGGGAATTTGAACCTGGCCCTCCCAGGTACTTTGCTAACATGTTAACCAATATACCATACTGGATCCCACAGGATCAAAATTACTCAGAAAACCAAGAAAATATAACAGCTTTATAAGAGGATCTCTTCCTGGCATCTAAATAGGTGTAATGGAAGTGCCAGGCAGTCCTCACAAAATGAAACATAGTCAAAAGGCATGGTGCCACAGGTAAGGTTGCCAGGTCCGAATGTCAAGGCAGTGGGGAACTTACCAGAGCACTCTGGGAGAGGGGAGGGAAGAACCACATCACTTCTGGGTGATGTAGGCACGTCGGTGACGTTGGGGGTGATGCTCTGGTTTTTGGGTAAAACTCTATGGTTTAAAGCTAATTCTATGGGAGTTTTGCCTGAAAACCAGAACGTTGCCCCCCAGTATCACTTACATGCCTTCATCACTTCCGGGTGATGTAGGCACATCATGTTTGGGGTGGTAACTCTCCCCTGATGACCTGCTGGCCAGCACTGGGGAGAGGGCTGGAAACCAGGGGACCGCCCATGTGCTGGGTGGACCTGGCAACCGTTGTTCCATCTAAGCTGAGTTAATATGAGCTGGCTCACAGTTTTTTAGCCTCTGACTCATTTTCATCTTAGCTCAGAAAGGATGTTTCCAGAGCAAACTAATTTAAGTAGTAGTCAAATGCTCACTCACAACTTTAATGCTAGTAGAATTTTTGCTCGCGAGACTCCACAGCTTAGAGGGAGCATTCCTGGGAACCCTAGCCATAGGTGAGAAGGCCCTGCTCCAATTACCACCAAATGGAGGTCGACAGGCCAATCTCAATGACTACACCAGTAAATACAGGAGGAGGCAGTCCTTCAGATATAGGAGTTGAATGATCAAAACAAGCACTTTGAATTTTGCCTGGAAATAGAAGCCAAGATAGTTCTTGCAGCACAAGGGTAATACATTCACCATGGCATATTCCTGTCCACATCTTCGCCCTGGCATCTTGGACCAGCTGAAGTTTCCAAGAGGCCTTCAAAGGCATCCCTATATAAATGCCAGCTAGCTGCCATGCTTTCTTTGTTTTCTTTCGTTCCTGACTTTTGCGCAGCCACACATGCTTGCTTAGCTTAGCTACCATGGGTAACATAAGGGAGGCACCCAGCCAGACAGTGCTATCAGTATAACTTTGAAGGGAAGGGAGGGCTTGAATTCCACTATGGGTGTGAATATTTCTGCTTGCAAGGGATTGGAGTGAGTCTCCCGTTCATGATGTAATATCCCGCCGGGAGAATTCCCGCCTGCGCGCTTGGATTCCATTTGCTTAGCTAGATGAAGCATCAGAATATATGTCTGGAGCCCCTTGCACTAATCGTTATTCCTGACAATGTACCTGTACCACTTGGCAACAGACCAGTATTCCAATAAAACATAGCCTTTTCAGGATAGTGTGTTTGGACCTGCTTGCTGTTGACCCTGACAATAAATCACTTCCCTATATAAAGCACTTCACAATAACCTAATTTTGACATGGCTCCAGAACATGGATAACCATGGCAAGGGGATTCATTTCCTAAAAAAGTGTTGCACTCTTAATATATCTACTAGAAATCATAACTTCAAAGAACTAACAATGGGGATGTGCTCAGTTGTCATCGCTCACACGCTAATGAATACTGCACAGTGTGAACATTTGTTTCGCAATATTTACTTTATCTGAGCGTGTAGCAATCCCAATTCTTATCAAATACTACTTATCAACTCTTGCTGGAAGCATTCCATGTCGACTAATAACAGGACCCAAGGTCCTCACAGAAGGATATTCCTTACAGAACTACAGAAATACTTCAGTAAATGTTTTTGCAACTTATCTTTATTGACTCTTAGTTATTTTTCTCACAGATGTTGTTTTTGGAGTCCCAGTCTCCAGGGGGTAGCTGGAGATCTCCCGATACTACAACTTACCGCCAGACAACAGAAACCAGTTCCCCTAGAGAAAATGGGCGCTTGAGAAGGTGAATGGCATTATACTCTGCTGTGATCCCTCCCTTCCCAAAAACCATCCTTCCCAGGCTCCACCCCCAAAATCTCCAGATAGATCTTAACTAAGAGCTGGCAGCCTTACTAATCAACCCTGCTAATCAGCCCTTTAGCAAACATCAAGTGCTGATCAAGGATCGAGCGCAGGGAACCCTTTTAAAAAGAAAAGGCCAAATGCATTAAAAGAGTATTTCAAAAGTGAATTTTAAGACGGGGGGAGGGGGAGATGTTGTACAAACCTGATAGTGACCTTGAACCAAATGGATTCCTTCAAGGACAGAGAAAAGGAATTGCCTTGTGAATCCATTTTTACAGCTCTTGAACATGCACGGCAGGTTGGTCATGAAATCAGGATTGTCTGCAATAGAAAGCAGATAGGATTACTATGAACAAGGACCAGTGGCGGAGCCAGACTAACCCAATCAGTCCATGCTATTTGTGTATAAAGCATGGCTGGGCCTGGGAGTCCTATTTCGACATCGCACCTAATGCATGAGGGAACAGAGTCTTTTGCAGATGCTGTATGTGAAGACCCGTCCTGAGTGGAGATGTTTGAGCAACCACCTGTTTGGCTTACAGCCCGTTCGCCTGCCAAAAACAGGAAGTCGGTTTTTCAGCCATTGGTTTACTTTCCCTAGACCTGTTTGTGGCTGTTCATTTTTTTTTAGCAGGCTGTTTCACTGTAGTCCTTCCTAACCACACAGTACAGTGGAACTGGCTTTTTGGGGACGTGCATTCTCACACAGCCCAATCGATATATAGTAAACTAGGCTTGACACCACAGTGAGAGGCCTCCTGCTGGCAAGAACTGGCAAGATTCTCTGAGCAGCAGCAGGAGAAAAATAAAATAGAAAAACAGCGACGATGACAATGTGACTACCCGGAAGTGACACAGGGTAGCTCTAGGAATCACCAGAAACTATGGTAAAACCATAGGGCTACTTTTTGCCGCTTCTAGGTTTTACCCGGAAGTGACACAGCTATGTCAGCAACACCATTGACATTACACAAATCCTCCCGTGTCCCTGCCCCTAGCCCTCCCTCCGGTGGCCAGACTCAGCCCAGCATCCCTAACAATAACCACCCCATCCTTGCTGCATAACTGCTTGGCTCGGCAGATAATTGTTTAAATAGACAAATCAGGCACAAATAAACGTCGTGTCTTAATCAAATACGACCCTTTGGTGTTTGTCGAAGAAGTCCCTAGGGATACTAATGGCTACCGATCGGTTTGAACCAGAAGCGTCTCGGCTCATGCACAGCGTTGTGAAAACCTGACGCAAACCTGTCCAGCGTGAACCAGACAGACTGAGCAATCAGCTCACACCTGACTGATGCCTTCAAATAGGGTTAGGGTTTTACGGCCAACATCACTCAGAAAACCAAGAAAAATAACAGCTAAACCAAATAAAAGCTAAACCAAATAACAGCTAAACCAAATAACAGCTAAACAAAAATTAATAGCATCCTCACTCCTGATGGGGGGGGGGAGACTGGATTTATACCCCGCCCTTCACTCGGAGTCTCAGAGCGGCTTACAAACTCCTTTCCCTTCCCCTCCCCACAACAGACACCCTGTGAGGTGGGTGGGGCTGAGAGAACTCTGACACAAACTGCTCTTTTTCAAGGACAGCTCTGACAGAACTACGGCTTGCCCAAGGTCACCCAGCCAGGTGCACATGGAGGAGTGGGGGAATCAAAACCCGGTTCTCCCAGATTAGAGTCCGCGCTCCTAACCACTACACTACACCAATCTTCTATCTAAAAAGGCATCATATGACCCTTGATATAAAAGCAAATCAAGAAGGAGGAGGACGAGGAGGAGATTGGATTTATACCCCGCCCTTCACTTGGGAGTCTCAGAGAGGCTTACAAACTCCTTTCCCTTCCCCTCCCCACAACAGACACCCTGTGAGGTGGGTGGGGCTGAGAGAACTCTTTCGAGGACTGCTCTTGAGAGAACAGCTCTGAGAGAACTTGTGACTGACCCAAGGTCAGCTCTGAAAGAACTGCCCTTTCAAGGACTGACCCAAGGTCAGCCAGCAGCTGTGTGTGGAGGAGTGGGGAATCAAACCCGGTTCTCCCAGATTAGAGTCTGCACTCCAAACCGCTACACCAAACTGGCTCTTTTAGAAGACTTTGTAAGATCATCTTGCTTCAGAGGCTTTGGGGGATGGACTCCTGATGCCTTCTTACTGCTGATGGATACAACTGTATTTGAGATGTATATTTGGGGGGGGGGGAGTCTTGCGCTGGCTAGTGACTCTCCCCCTTCACTTTTTCCCAAACGGAAGAATGACAAAACACCCACACTTACACAGGAGAAACTGTACTGGCGCCCTCCAAGGAACTGCTGGGGCCACACCTATTCTCTGACTTACATGAACCAAGTTATTAAAAACCAAGCCTGCGTAGCTGTGCCGTCTTTTCATCGGTACCTTCTTATTTCTTGGTCACGTGACAATGTTACTGAAATGCTGGAGACAAATCTTCCTATAGATATATAAAGATAAAGGTAAAGGTTCCCTTGCTCGAAAGCCAGTCGAGTCCGACTCTAGGGTTGCGGTGCTCATCTCCGTTTCAAAGCCGAAGAGCCAGCGCTGTCCGAAGACGTTTCCGTGGTCATGTGGCCGGCATGACTAAACACCAAGGCGCACGGAACGCTATTACCTTCCCACTGAAGTGGTACCTATTTATCTACTTGCAATTTCTTGCGTTCGAACTGCTAGGTTGGCAGGAGCTAGAACTAGAGACGGGAGCTCACTCCGTCATGCGGCACACTCGGGTCTCGAACTGCTGAACTACCAACCTTCCACAGCCTGCAGTTCAGCGTATTAACCACTTGAGCCACATATATACACATTGCCTTAACCTGGGTGGTGTAGGATAGCTTGATCTCATCAGATCTCGGAACCCAAGCAGGGTCAGCCTTGGTTAGTAGTTAGACGGGAGGCCACCAAGGAAGTCTGGGGTTGCGACCCAGAGGCAGGCAATGGCCAACCACCTTGGAGCATCTCTCATCTTGAAAACCCCAAGGGGTCACCATAGGTCAGCTGTGACAGCACGCTTTCCTTCACTACCATGAGCTGGAGACATTGGGACTTGCCCAGTCTTGCTGGGTCATCTTTATTCAATAAATGGGACAATGTTGTCACCAACCCCTCCTCTAGTTTGGTGCGAGAGCCAGTTTGGTGTAGTGGCTGAGTGCGTGGACTCTAATCTGGGAGAACCGGGTTTGATTCCCCACTTCGCCACTTGCAGCTGCTGGATGACCTTGGGCAAGCCGTAGCTCTAATAAGAGCTGTCCTTGAAAAAGAGCCGTTTCTGTCAGAGCTGTCCTCTCAAGGACAGTTCTGTCAGAGCTCTCTCAGCCCCACCTACCTCACAGGGTGTCTGTTGTGGGGAGGGGGAAGGAAAGGAGTTTGTAAGCCGCTCTGAGACTCCTTTGGGTAGTGAAGGGTGGGGTATAAATCCAATCTCTCCTTCTTCTTCTATTGTCCCAGGGCTGCATAAACCCCCAACCCTGCTTGGTCCTTCTGTGTTCATGTAATATGCAGGCGTTGGTCAACCATTTGGGATCCCCTGAATCTACATTAGACATTAGTGGCTTCCAATAAAAAAGAAGAATCCGCTTTTGCAACGCTTCCTTGTCTGGTCATCTGGGTGCAGTTCTTACTCTCCCCAGGTAACCAAGCGAGTAGCTATTTACCAGCTTTGCACTGTAACAGTTACTACCCATGCCTCTGTGACTGACCGCACCTGAAATAGCCGTCAACACATTCAAAGCCGCAGCCTCCAGTTTCACCAACAGGGCGGCACCTTCTGGAGTTAAGTACTTGAGTAGAGCCCGGCACATTTCATTGACTCTGAAGGAACAAATATATAATAGAAAGCAGTTATCATATAAAATCAGAACCAAAGAACAAGTACTAGACATGCTACAGAGAAAGGGCAGTTCGTCTTCTGTCCTGTCTAGAACAATTTCATGTTGGTAGATCGACGTTACATTATTTGTTTCTCATTGACACTAGGATTAGAGTACATTCAGGAGGGAATGCACACACACACCTTATCACAAAATGCTGGCTCTTTTCACGGGCTCTTCGCTCCCTAGTCTTTAGTTTCCCTGCCTGTCCCGGTCTCTGTAGTTCACAGCAGTTTTTAGACCCACTACAAAATTTTTAGCTCTCAACCAAAACGATCTTATACTTTCTCTTCCAAGAGCTGCACTGATTTCCAGCATTCCGCAACTGACTTCTCCCTTTGGCCTGCATCTCCATGAACTTTCCAAGACACCACAGCAGCTCAGCTCTTTGGCCCAAATGACTCACAAGTACTGGCAAGTGGCCAATTTTTTAAGTGTAACACGTCTGGCCAACTGCTTTAGCCTTAGGGTTGCCAAGTCCATCAGACCCCCCAGGCGAGGGGATGGAGGGAACATTCCAGGAGCGGGAAGTTACATACCTGGAAATAAATGCAATATGCCGACATCACATCTGGGTTTACTTCCTGCTTCTTCCCTCCCTGCTTCCAGTAAATTGTGCTTATTTCTGCCTAGGGGGATTCCTGACATCCCTTTCCCCCCACTTCCTGGTGGCCCTCAAGTGGGGGAGAGGCTCCAAATAGGGTTGCCAAGTCTGAATTTCGCTGCAGCGGGGGACTCTCGGCTGGTGGCTGGAAGTGACGCGACCACACCGGGCACGCTGGGGCGGGGCCATGACCATCCGAGGGAAAACCATAGAGTTTTCCCTCAGATGACCATGGCCCCACCCCCAGCGTGCCCGCCGTGGTCGTGTCACTTCCAGGTGACGCGCACGTCGGGGTGGGGTTCCCCCCGGGGCCCGATCCGCCGCCGGCGGGGAATGGGCCTCCGGGGGGGGGACTTGGCAAGCCTAGCTCCAAACCAGGGGATCCTCTGCTCCCAACCAGGAACTGGCAGCCCTATTTAGGCTACACACTGGCGTTTTCTGACCTTATTAATATTAGCACCTTCAAACTCCCTTGTTGGTGACTAAGCACAACCTGGTTGGCTGGCCCACCCGCTTAGATCTCTAGGAAGACTTTAAGAAGCTTCTCGGGAAGTAGAATGGTTGGCTAGGCCTAGGGTTGCCAAATGTTACCTACCTTGCCGGCGGGGGACTCCAGTGCGGCTCCCGGCGCGTGCACGCCACATGCACGTCACAGGGAAGTGATGTCATGACGCCAGGCACGCTGGGGGTGGGGCCACGACCATACAAGGGAAAACCATAGAGTTTTCCCTTGTATGGCCGTGGCCCCGCCCCCAGCGTGCCCGGCGTCATAACGTCACTTCCCTGTGACGTGCACGCTGGGGCGGGGTTCCCCCCGGGGCCTGATTCCCTGGCGTCGGGGAACGGGCCTCTGGGGCGGGGGGATTTCCGCCCCCCGGGGGGATTTGGCAGCCCTAGCTAGGCCTCTGGGCTGTGTTGATTCTCCTCAGCTTCCCACGTTCCCTCTTTAGGATTTATAGATTCCCGTCCAGCATCTGTCTACTCACCTGCCTTGTCTGGTAGTCCAACCCCTCTGACTCACTGGGTCTTATTGGTTGTCCCCTCATCTATTAACTCCAAGAGGTGGAGTCAGGCTTTTGCATCTTGGCCTTCCTCCTCTAAGGACTCTAGTGCTTGCCTTGGGCCTTCTTCTGGGGACTGGTTCTGGCCTACAGCACTAGGGAACCGTCCTGTTGGTGTATCCCTGACACTGACTTAGGTGGAAGCTAGAGGGGAAAGTTAGAACAATGAAGAACATCAGCCTTACAGATTCCTACCTCCAGTCACCGAACCACTGTTCTGCCAGGAGCGACAACACCAAATCTCGCATGAGCTCCGCAGTCAGCTTTCTATTTCCCTCTACAACACTTTCATTAAAAAGAGGTCTCAATATTGTTTGCAGCAGGTCTTGAATGAAGTTCCCTCTCTGGTTTTTATTCAAGTGAGGCAGACCTATCAATGGAATCATTTTTTCTAACAGGGGCAGAACAGATAACTCAACAGCATTCTGGATGACAGGACTGCTGAGAAAGGACAGTGTGCTCAAGTCTCCGTCGATAAAATCTGATGTGAAATCAATCAGCTCCATCATGAGACCAAAGGCCATCAGAATGCCATCTTGTCTTTCCAATAGCGCAATCCACCTATCTGGATCCTTTTCAGAGCTGTTTGACCAAAACCCTTCGGGGACTTCAGCTTTGACGAAAGCCTCCCGTTCCAATGACTGCACCTCAAGCAAGTAAGAGATTATTTTCTGTACTTCATCGCCACCTCTCTCCTGTTTCAGGTTCTGAGTCAAAATCAGCTTGGAATTGGGTTTTTGTATGATACCCTTAATAGCCACCAAGAAGTCAAGTATATTTTCCACTAGACTCGAAGCCTCTTTGGAAGAGTTGGCAATTGAGTCTGCAACACCCTCAACCAGCCTCTCCAGCATGATGGAATAATTGAGTGCACTCGCCAAACACTTAGAAATGTCTTCTTCTAATGCATCGCTGAACTGGCTCAGACTTTCGACCAATCCACCTTCTATCGTTGCTGCGTCGGGCCTCTTCGAGCGGGATGGATCGAGTGGCATCATCAAGGAGGTCAAATCAAGAAAGGCTGCCGCCAAGCTGTCCAGTTGCCCTTTGTTTAAATGCAGCCTTTCCGCCGCCTCCTTCAAGCTCTTCTCTTCGACGGCACTGCGAACAGCTTTTTGGAGAGCCAAAAAGGACATCTCAAGGGGATGGAGATTTTCTGTAACATTTACATTTTCTGGGATTTTAGGAACTGCAACCAATTGCTTGGCAGCTTTTCTGGACAACGTTAGGAAGCTAAATAAAACCTCTATTATTTTTTCTACCTGCTTGGAGTCATCATCTCCCTCAAATACAGATTTCAACACATCATGAATGTCTATGTAAGGCCAAGGAGTGTAGTCGGCTCTGCTATCCCCGAAGATGATGTGAAGCAATCTTTGCATGACTGACATTATTGTGCTATTTTTCAAAAGGAAAATACTGTTATTGAAATTCAGAAGTTCCGGCATACTGGCTAAAGTGTTGTGAGCCAAAATACGCACAAGATTTCCAATTTCTGTGGAAATGTGCTTCGTGAATGAGAGAGTCCTGGAGAGTTCTTGCATCCTTTGAATAAGATCCTGAGAATTATTCACACTGTATAGTAAGTTGTTCACAAAACTCAACAGTTCCTTGTGACTTCTGGTGATGTTTTTAACGGTAGGATTTCTGAGCAAAAGGTTGAAAACATTTCTGGCAAACATCAGTCCTTTGGCTCCATCGAACGGAAGCTCCTCACTTGTCGACATAATAGCTGCTTCGTTTAATAAGCTATTGATGTAGTCCCCAAGATGTGAGTAGGTGACATTTTGTGAAACCTCATCGACTTCTTTGTTTAAGTTATCCAGGTGATCAAGCTTTAAAAGAGCCAGAATTTCATCCCTGGGGAATACACTACAACAGAAATATTAAATGGAGTTTAATAATTCAACTGCTAAATTCAGTGCTGAATTTTATGATGGGAACTTACTGGAAAACAACACAAAAAAGGAATACATTTCTGATGCAATTTAGTCTTGTCAGAGACACCACAGGACTTAGAAAAGGAATACATTTCTGATGCAATTTAGTATTGGTGTCTTGTCAGAGACACCACAGGACTTAATACTTTAGATTAGTAGACAAAACAGTGCATCTCAAATACCATTGAAGAAGAAGAAGATGAAGAGAAGAAGAGATTGGATTTTTCCAAAGGTGTCTCAGAGTGGCTTACAAACTCCTTTCCCTTTCCCTCCCCACAACAGACACCCTGTGAGGTAGGTGGGGCTGAGAGAGCTCCTGACAGAAATGGCTCTTTTTCAAGAACAGCTCTTATCAGAGGTACGGCTTGCCCAAGGTCATCCAGCCAGGTGCAAGTGGAGGAGTGAGGGAATCAAACCCGGTTCTCCCAGATTAGAGTCCACACACTTAACCACTACACTACACCAAAGATAGAGATTGGATTTATATCCCCACCCTTCACTCGGAGTCTCAGAGCGGCTTACAAACTCCTGTCCTTACCCCGCCCCACAACAGACGCTCTGTGAGATAGATGGGGCTGAGAGAGCTCTTTGAGAACTGCTTTTGGGAGAACAGCTCTGAGAGAACTGTGGCTTGCCCAGGGTCACCCAGCAGCTACCTGTGGAAGAGTGGGGAATCAAACCCGGTTCTCCCAGATTAGAGTCCGCGCTCTTAACCACAACATCAAACAGGACAGTCTGGTCTGTCACTGATTTATCATTTAGTGCCAAAATTGAAAAGCTCGATTTGAGCCCAGTAGCACCTTAGAGACCGAAAGGACTTTCAAAGTACGAGGTTTCGAGGGTCAAAGTTCATGCCCCGAAAATCTTGTCGGTCTCTAAGGTGCTCCTGGTCTCTAAGGTGCTCGTTCTACTGCAGAGCAAAACAGCCGCCTTCTGAAACTAAAATTTAAAGGGATATTTCATCTCAAATGCCTAGTTGTAAAGCATCATGAGATTAGGCTCCAATCCATATGGAGTGAGGATCAAGAGTAGGACAGCTCTCTCAGGAAAAAAAATATGTTACTCGTCTCTATGACCTCCACAGAACTGATCTGCAACTAGATTTTTTGGGAAAGGCCATTATGGGTGAAGAATGAAGGGACCCCAGCACTTCAGCACACACTGCCTAGAAGTAGCTCACCGGTACATTCTGCTGTCACAAAAACCTCTTATTTTGGCAACTGGGGGGTGGGCAGGCCAGATTACATTCCTCCTAGGGACTCCAGTTGCTGAACACTGGTCCCGATCACACGCAGAAGTAGCCGCGCGAGAGGCACAACTGCCGGGTGGATTTTAAGGGAGCGATCACGCGGGAACATCTGGCAAGCGTCCCGCACCCGTCGGCAACCCGTCTCACTCCGCCAAAGACAAGGGGTTAAAAAATACCTGCAGTGTCAAACGGGTTGTGACAGGCCACAGACAGAGTTTCCCGTGTGATCGCTTCAGCGCGCTCCGATTGCATCACTGATCCCTCTATGAAGCGCGCTGGAAACACGCGGCGAAGAAAACCCCCCGATTCTGTGGCACAAATATGCTTGCTTCCCTCACACACACACGTTTTCCAGCACATGTGACCGGAGCCACTGTTTTATAGACTAGAGCTATTTCCTCCTTTTTCCTTCATTCCCCCGTTACCTCACAGAGTTCACGGTCAGGTCAGTGGCGTTCCTAAGTCAGGGAGACGCTCTGGGTCTCTGACTAAATCTTCACCACTATGGCCCCTTCTTCAGCAGCTCATTTTCTGGCCTCCTGTCCTGGATCCCAAAACTAGACCTTTATCTCTTTTACTTGGGCTTTTCCTAACCCACAAGCTAATGGACTTGCATGGCTCCACAGGTGGAACCGTCATCAGTGTTTCCCATCTCTCTGAACTGGTGTTTGGTGCCGGGCCTCGGAACCCACAGTGTACTCCACAAGAACATTCCAAGGTTCTTATCAACTTCAAATGCTGGGTGAGGAAAGGAAGTTCCAGCTCAGATGATACGTTAAAGCATCTTTCAGTGCGATTTCTACCATATATTGGATCTACAGAGAATCGACAGAAATACACACTGACCTCATTTCTGCAATTATGTCCTTATGCAAATCCTTCAGTAAGAAAAACATTTTGTTCCTGTAACGTACTGTGGAAGATGGAAAGACAATTTGCAAAAATTCTTTGATCAGTTCCGTTGCCCTACTTTGGGACGGGGCAATGTCTTCTCCATAGTTCTCATAGTGGGCGTCATCAAAGAACAGGTCAATGAACTCCATTATCGGATCATCTGTGTCATTGGAATGCAGCTCTTCCTCTTTAGCTGCCAGATCGTGGATCACGTTAAGCAGACTATTCTGCAAAATCAAGTGGGCCACTTGGACATTCTTCAACTTCCTGCCACTAAGAAAATCAATAACGGAAGAAAGAGGATCGTCATCTTGAGTTTCATTCTTGAATAGCTCCAAAAACAAGATTATATCTTTGATGCTCTGGAGGATTTCATCTGGTGATCTTTGACCCTCCATTAGTGAAATGAATGCATTTATTATTTTAGAGTAGTTTTTATTACTGTGTTCTTCGAGCCAGTTTCTTCCGTGCTCAAACACATCTCCAATGCTCTGTAGAAATGATGCATTCAATGGTCCCAAGGCAGTGGCCAGCACTGACAGAGTATTCGGTTCGACTGCTGTGCTTAACAGATGGAGTTCTCTGGCAATTAGCAAAAGCAATTGCCTAACGTTAAAATCTGCTGACAGGTTTTCTATGCCTCTCTCTGTTTCAAGCCACAGGGTCTCCAAACTCTCCCTTAGACTTCTGTTCCTAGCTAAAGCTAATAAAGTTCTAAGTACCATGTGCAATTGGTTTCCAGCTGGTGATAATTCCATTAGAGGCCGCATAAAAGAAAGGAATGATGTCAAGTTATCACTGGTATAATTGAATCCAAACATCCCATTGACCATGTGTTGTAAATGAGTAAGGATGGACTTTGTCCTTAGTGCTGCAGTACCCCTCTCTGTTTTTTGGCCACTATAGAAATCTGTGAGTTGTTCAAAAAGAGCCCCGACTGCTCTGATCTCAGATGAAATCATGTTACTCACAGCGTCTATGAGTTGCAAAGAAGTTTGCTTCTTCCCCGCTAACATGCAATGAGATAAGTTGCTCCTATCAGCTCTGGAAGTCAGAACATAGTTTGATAGTTTGCTCCAAAATGTCATGACTTCATTCAGGACCGAGCTGTCAAGTGTGTGGTTCTCAGAAAGTTTTAAGATAACCGGATGCCACTCTTCAAGATGGCCAAGGAAGCAGGCCATTTTGTAGGTTACTTCCTTGAGAAAACGTTCATCAGAGCACAGCGATTCTCCTTGTGTCCGGAGCTGTTCAATCATCTCAGCAGCCACTTCATACACAGTTGATGAATTTTGCTGCGGGTCTACACGGCAAGCCTTTGAAACTGGCTCATCCCAGGAGCTTATTGTTGTGATGTTCCAGCAGATGACCGCTGCAAGACAGCTCAAAGCTTTTGCGGATTCCAGGGGCATATCTGTGGCTAGCTCTAATAATTCCACGAGGCTATTAACTTCCTTGGATAAGTCTTCTGTAGAAAGTGCTGCCACATTTGTACTTTGCTTCAGCATGAAATGGTATCCTTCAATCAGGGCATCTGTCATGTTTTTGGGAGCTGCCCTCTCAAACAGATTGACTACCTCGGAAAGGAAGTGAAGCACTTGCATTACTTCTGTAAGTTCAGCCTCTTGAAATAACTTCATGATCTGCCCCACTCTGGTTGAATTCTGTGAAGATGAAGTGTTGCTGATGTTCTTTAACCAGCCTGCTAGGAAATCCAGCACAGAATTCCCTGCATATTGACCCACATGGTCCATAGAGTTCAGGCTCCTACTATTCTGTGTTATTTTCCTAAAATTTGCATCTGTTTTCTCAAGACTGTGCAGTAAAGTTACCGTGTACTTTTTGAAGACTTCTGCATCTAATTCTTGTAGAGAACTGGAGAGAATGTAAGACCTCAGCATTTGGAGAACGTTTCGGGCTAGTTCAGAGCCAAGGCTAGATGTGCTGTTCTCTGCATGGGAAGTCATACTGAGAATATTCAAGATGGCATCAAAGAAACGCAGGGGTGAGCTTAGTAAGCCGATAATGTCTTTTGGGGGGTTTTCTAGTGCCTTGAGCAGAATTCCAGTGAGCCAAGGAAACGTGCCATTTTGAAAATATTCAGTAGACACATTTTTCAGGAGAGTCTGAATTTCACTCAAAAGACCTACTGGAGAAGGCTGGAACTGATGGAGAAAACCAAGAAATCCTGTTGAATTCATTATAGGGTCTAAGAAAGCAGCCTGGTTTGAGTCATGGGCATATAAGGAGTGATCTGTTATATACTGGATTATGTTTTTAATTTGCCCACCTGTGTGATTTAAAAGAGTGAGAATGGAGTCAACTACCTGTAGGTCATCCTGTTTAGAAAAAGTGGGTAGCATTAATTTTAAATATTCAATCACTAAATCAACGCAATGATTTGTCAAATGTGCATTGGTGCCATTTTGTAGGCAAGGCCATTTTGTAAAATTAAAGGCCACATCAAGTATATTTGGAATATTCTCCAGATTACTACCAGTATCATCAGTAGGACTCAAAGATGTCAAGAGAATTAGGACATCTTTAGCATTCCCAGGGGAGAAAATGGAATATTTCTCTATGAGAGTCTTAATTAAAAGTCCCAGTGTGTGACAGCTTTTCAAGCCAATGGTTGCATCTTCAAAGGTTAGAAGATATTTCAAAAGTGCAGGAAGCCATCTCCGTGAAATGTCTTGGCTGCTCAGGTCTTCACCTTTCATTAGCTGGGTTACATTATTGAGAATTTCAGCACAGGACAAGATATTCTGATCTTGTGATACATTTTTGAGGAGTTCAGTCATCTCTTCTAACTCAATGAAGCTAGTTTGGATTTCTTCCCAAGCTAAAATGTTGAAGATGGACTTCCCCAAAGAATGCAGCTTGTGTTCTAGTTTAGGGCTTGCAGGAATGAAAATGTCTAACCAAGATTCAAGAAAGTCTCTGCTGAAATTAGCATTTGAAACGACTTTATGCAGTACAACAGATATGCTTTCTACCAAGCGCACGACTTCTTGTAAGTCCTCTCTGTTGTACGAACTGGTTATATTAATAACATGGCTAAGTGTAGCTAAAAAATGGTTCAATGCCTCAAAATCAATCATATAAGCAACTTTGGTTATGCCTTTCAACAGATGTGCTGCTGATCTCATTTGTTCCTCAACAGCAATGGTCTCACCGCATGTTTTCGCAAGACTACTATTTTCAAGACTGTCCAAAGAGAGGGCCAAGGCTTTGTGAAAGTCAGTAAAAAACCCCGAATCCAGCCTTAACATTTTAGACGCTTCTTCTAAAAACTGAAGCCATGTTTGAATCCATGCCTTAGTACAATTCAAGGACGACAATCCATCTGTTGTATTTCCAAGAGGTGACATGCTAGAGAGAAGATCAGCCAACAGAAGCATAAATGAACTAGAATGATTCACAGAGGGAAATTCAGATATATATAATTCACTAGATACATTATGGAATGCATTTTCTGTTGGTGTGCCAAAAAGGTTTTTCAAATGCTGGAATGCAGCAATACAATGTTCCATTCCTAAGAGTATTGCTTTACTGTTGTTCATTATGCTAGCTGTAGTTTCTGGTTTTTGGTCCTCATCTTGTACAACGGACTGAACTTGGAGTGCTGAGTAGCCATATAGCTGTAATAATTTCTCACAAAGAGGTTTTTGAGGAAAATCCTGGAGGAGCTTCACAGTACTGGAAAGGAATCCGAAAGCCTTCCTCACACCTTGAAAGTCAAGTTGTGGGAAAGGAGTTGAACTGTTCGTTGAGTTCTGATACAGGAACGTTACCAAAGAGTCACTGCTCTGCTTCAAGAACTGGTCAATGTCTTGATAAAGGGAGGAAAGTGTCTGGACAAGCACAGCAACATGGTTTCCCCCAACTCGACTAATCTTTTGGTAGAAGTTGGAGACAACACTCTCCAAGTCTTGCATCTTAAGAGAAGAGCTTGTATCTGAGACCAGAAGGGAGACAGCATTTTTCACAGTGTAAATTGTGCTAAAGGCTGCCGCAGTTTGTTCTGGAGCCAACAACCCTATTTCATACAGAACCTTTATGAAATGTTCGCTTAAATTGTTTGCATAATCGGCATTCAAAACAGTCCATTCAGGCCAGTCGACCAGCAGGTGCTGGAAAAATTGCAAGCTTCTGTCGAGAATTTTCTGATTTTCCAAAACATATGGCCTCACGACTCTATATAAAGCATCCAGCTGTTCTTCTACTTGTTCTTCTGGGTCTGCAGTTCTCCAGGTATGTGGCTGTTTAGGGGCAAATTCACGCAAGAACATCTCCATCATTTGTAGAAATATATTTGCTTGGGGATGCTGCCCGAATGCTGGAAGTTGTTGGAAATTCTCCAATATCCATGCAGCAAGTTCAGGAAGCATCTGGACGTCCTCTTCTTCTATTGTGCCTAAACTGTTCATCAAAAAGACTACATTGTCTAGGATAGTTTCCACAAATGATTGGAGGTCTTGAACATTCAACCAGACTGAGGAATTAGGCAGGAAGATCTCTTGGATGAATTTTGCAGTGCGTTGGACAATGGCTGTTTTCATCTCTTCGTGTCCTGGCCAAAGTTTTTCTGACTCCAGAAACTCTTTGATAGATGTAATGATCCTGTAACATAAATCATATTTTATTTTTGTGGCATGTCAATTTTTTGTGACATTACAACCATCCTAAAAGCAAGGGTAGGAAACATCTTGAATTCCTAACAGAATCCTTCTACATCCAGTCTAAATTAAGGCCTGCATGAATTTAGCTGCAGACAATGAGAAGGACATGTATCATCATCATCGCTACTGCCTGGTCATATTTTTGTACTTGTGATGTTAACGTTTGGGGAGGTGAAGACCCCCGTACGTTCTTCCCTTCCCCTGCCAGTGTTCCCCTCCCTGGGTAGGCTTGAGGTGGGGGGGGAAGCAGAGAAAGAAAGCAACTTTTTAACTTTAAATGTGTTCTCAAAGCCCCCCGCCCACCAGCAGCCAGCTTGGAGAAGACATTTGTCTCTTTAAATCCCTCCTCCAAGCCAGCCAACATGGGGGCAGGGAGGGGCTTGGAGGACTCATTTAAAGTTGCTTTCCTCTCCCTCCCCCCATCTATTTGCTTTCTTTCCACTGTCTTTCTTTCCACCTTTTTTCTCTCTCTTTTTCTCCCCTCCCTCCCCATCTAAAGTTAAATGTGTTCTCCAAGCCCCGCCACACCGGCAAACTGGCTTGGCTCGGAGAAGGCATTTGTCTCTTTAAATCCCTTCTCCAAGCCAAGCTGGCTATAGTGGGGGCATGGGGGGGGGGTTGGAGAACACATTTAAAGTTAAAGCTGCTTTCTGTCCACCTCTCCCTCCCTTCCCATTTATTTGCTTTCCACCTCCCCCCCCCTTTTCCCTTTCCTTCCTTACTTCCTGAACATACTTCTGGATTTTTTTATACTTGTGAAATCCTACCCCACCAGTTGAACATAATGACAAACATCATACTATTTCAATTCTGAAAAGTGTTTCATTTCCTCCAGTTACCCTCGCCTGCTGTTTGTGTGGAAAGGCAATAACTGAGAGCATTAGTCCAAAAGGAATCAGTATGTTATTGACACCAGACAGTCTTTTGCAATGCACTCAGATCTTGTTGGATTTCAGTGAGTCTTAAGCACATTTCGGTTCCACTCTGATGAAATTGAAAGATCACTCTATAAAAATATCTATATAGTCCTTTTTTAAACATTCACTCCTCCCACTAAAAAAATAAATAAATCTGAGTTAGGAAACTGAAACAAACTTAATTCAAACCTACCTGGCCCATGAAGTAAATGAAAAATTCGACCAGTTTTGTAGAAATGTTATATAATTATCAAAGATGGCCTTCAAGTTGAGCTTCTCTTGAGAACAAAGAGGAGTGCTGGACTTTTCTGAAGACAAAAAAAATATATCTAATTTTAGGACAAGGCATCTTCTGGAAGAGTTTTATAGTTAATACTTAGAAAACATTAGTTATAACAAAGCTGCAAAGCAAAAGGCAGCAAAGTGGTCATTCAAAGTAGCACAATGAGTTTTCAGTGACTTCAGAAGCATTTCTTAATTAAGAGTAGAAATCCCTGGCTTTCATTATAGAAAAACATGTAATTCTTAGGATTCTAGCAAAATATTTTAATCGTGATTTCAACTGAAATTGTGGTTTTGCAACATTGGCAGAGAAAACATACTCATATTTTACACACATGGCAAAATTGCCCTTCGTACAAAAAAAAAAATGACTACACGTATTGAGAAGATGGTGGGTGGTGCACACTCTTGTTATGCCCGGTTGGTGTGCCAAAATTAAACATCTGAAAAAGGCTTAAATGAGTAAATTAGTATTGGAGAAGCAAGGTAGCCAGTGATCGGACAGGTGAACAAACACCTATAAACGCACCCTCTTGAAAAGTTCTGAAAACACAATATTGAGTGAAACAGAAAGCTTATGTACATATAGCTAATGCAATCATTAGAGATGAAGGTAATAACCATTTACTTACCAGGTTGTCCTCTTAGGAAACCTTCCCTTTTGTTGGCATAGTAAGCCATCTCACATGTTCTCCTGACAAATGTTGACAAACCTTTCCAGTAGAGCTTCTTCTCAAACCCAAACCACAATTCATCAAGAGTGTCCCAAAACCTAAAGGGGGGAGGGAGGGACAGCAAAGCTGTTACTATAATCAAGACCCTTCCTTCCTTCCTTCCTTCCTTCCTTCCTTCCTTCCTTCCTTCCTTCCTTCGTACGGCTTTATTGGCCATAGCCTTAAGCCTACATCAAGAACTTATTTTCTAACATATACCAAAAATGGAATATATTAATCATGGAGGGGTGGAGAAGGATGTAAACCACCTTGGGTCCAAATTGGGGGGGGGGGCAAGCAGGGGTATAAATGAAGTAAATAAATATGTTTGTATATATACTGATCCACATTATATCCATATTATATATACTGATCCACATTACATTGTTCAAGTGTGCACCAAAGGTGTTTTAAGAACTCTTTTTAAAAGTTTTAAGAACTCTTTTTAAAATGAATGCAAAGACATATGTGGCACATTGGGCACCCCATGTCACATATACCACTTCAGTGGGAGCACAAACTTTCAGACACCCCTCCCCCCATTTTATTTATATCAGAAGAAGCATTCATGATCGTTCAATTCTCCTTCTAACTGTGGGAATTAGTAGACACCATGTGCACCAAAGGTGTTTTAAGAACTCTTTTTAAAAGTTAATATATTAATTGGACTACCAAATGAATGCAAAGACATATGTGGCACATTGGGCACCCCATGTCACATATACCACTTCGGTGGGAGCACAAACTTTCAGAACCCCCCCCCCATTTTATCTATATCAGAAGAAGCATTCATGATCATTCAGTTCTCCTTCTAACTGTGGGAATTAGTAGACACCAATATTTGGCCACCAAATGAGAAGGGAGTGCTCACTGGAGAAGACCCTGAGGCTGGGGAAGATTGAAGGTCAAAGAAGACGGGGACGGCAAAGGAGGAGATGGTTAGACAGTGTCATAGATGCAACGAACATGAAATTGAGCCAACTTCAGAGGACGGTGGAAGACAGGAGGGCCTGGCGTGATGTGGTCCATGGGGTCATGAAGAGTCGGACTTGACTGTGCGACTGAACAACAATGGCAACAATAAGATAACTGGGCTCTTTTGCACAGGGCCCTCAATGCTGGTGGCATGTGCCCCCCTCCAGAAGGGCATCACCTGAACAGTATATCATACAGCTATGCCCGTTAGAGAGCTGTGTATGAATTGTATACTGATTACTGTGTAGGAATTGTATAGTTGGTGGCAAACCCAGATGTGTAAGCTAACATTATTTGCAACTGAAAATACCAGAATCTCAGAAGCATTACTAGGATAGGGGCATGGCTCAGTAGCAGAGCATCTGCTTGGCATACAGAAGGTCCCAGGTTCGATCCCTGTTATCTTCAGTTAAAAGTTCCCTTGCTTGAAAGCCAGTCGAATCCGACTCTAGGGTTGCGGTGCTCATCTCAGTTTCAAAGCCGAAGAGCCAGCGCTGTCCGAAGACGTTTCCGTGGTCATGTGGCTGGCATGACTAAACACCAAGGCGCATGGAACGCTGTTACCTTCCCACCGAAGTGGTACCTATTTATCTACTTGCAATTTCTTGCTTTCGAACTGCTAGGTTGGCAGGAGACGGAACTCACTCTGTCATGCGGCACACTCGTGTCTCGAACTGCTGAACTACTGACCTTCCACAGCCTGCAGTTCAGCGTCTTAACCACTTGAGCCACCGCAGCTCCTCATCTTAACTAGGTATAAACTAAACATAATATAGTATAACACAACAAACATAATGCATAGACTATAGAATGGCGTTACATATAATACTAAAGTTTGGCACTTTACGCTGAGTAAATCTTCTATTTATTTTATTATTTGTAGACAGTTGTTTGAAGGTTAGTGGCCACTGGACGATATTTGTGTTGCATTATTTATCAGAATAACCATTTATGATACAAAGGGTTTGAAGGTAGTATATCTTTTGATGACATAAATTCTAAAACCGGTGCCCATGTCCGCACAAAATTGGAGTAGATTGTTGTATTAGGCAACCACAAGTGACTTCTAAGGCTTAACTCAACGGAATGGGGATTTATCCTCCAAGCAGGGGGCTGATGGTGGGCAATGGATATAGGAATGCGCAGGGAAACAGTTAATTCAGTTAATATGATAAAGCTTTTTGAAACTGCAGAATCACTGGTACGTATATTTAATTCCTTTGCAGTCTACCGGCTAGAAACTGTTTTGACGGTCAGAGTTGTGCCACAGTGGAATCAGCTGCCTGGGGAGGTGGTGAGCTCCCCCTCCTTGGCAGTCTTCGAGCAGCGGCTGGACAAACCCTTGTCAGGGATGATCTAGGCTGATCCTGCATTGAGCAGGGTGTTGGACTAGATGGCCTGCCTGGCCCCTTCCAACTCTGTGATTCTATGATTCTATGATACACTGGACAGCTCCACTACCAAAGACTTCAAGAAGAAGAAGAAGAGGAGGAGGAGGAGGAGATTGGATTTATACCCCGCCCTTCACTACCCGAAGGAGTCTCAGAGCGGCTTACAAATTCCTTTCCCTTCCCCTCCCCACAACAGACACCCTGTGAGGTAGGCAGGGCTGAGAGAGCTCTGACAGAAACACCTCTTTTTCAAGAACAGCTCTGACAGAACTATGGCTTGCCCAAGGTCATCCAGCAGCTGCAAGTGGAGGCGTGGTTGAATCAAACCCAGTTCTCCCAGACTAGAGTCCGCGCACTTAACCACTACACCAAACTGGCACCCATCCACCACATTTACAAAAGTAATATCTTTACATTACACTTGGGGGGAGGGGCGACAAAGAGTATATACAGAAAAAATATGCTTGTAACATATAGTATCAGAGTCATTTCACACATTACCAAACAGCAGGCACAAGCCCCTGCAGCAAACACACTTGCCATGCAAAGAATGAACCCGCCTTTGAGTGCAGCATCCGCTTTTTAACCGGTGAATCCAATTTAAATAAACCTGCCTGTTGCCAGAACTTACATGAGGTAGTAGAGACCGTGCAGGATCCTTGCAGTTTATGAAGCTAAAGCTCCCATTCGTTAGAAGAGAAGGACCCTGATTCATCTATACCAAGATGCTTTTGTTGTTTTACCAAAACAATAATCTGTAATCATCTGTAGCCATCTATAGTCTGGGAAACACCACGTCCCTCTCATTCCCATTAAATTAAAATTTGTCATTCCTGATTAAAGAAAGCTTTACTCAAAGGACTGATGAAAGCAATTAAAGCTTGCAGTCGGCATTTAAAAGGCTAACCTAAACAGCGGCACCTAGAAGCCATTACTTTTAAAAATATATATACTGACAATGTTGCGTTGTAATCTGCCGTCGTTGTCACCACCAACAGCCCATCTTCCCAACCAACAGATGGATTTCACAGCCAGGAGTGAAATCAAAGGATCTATTGGCTGAACGGATTTGGGTGGGCCCAGGCCACCAGAACCCCAGACCTGGACTGGTGAAGATCATTTTATACACGAGGGACAGAGTACTGAAATTGAGCTGTTTTTTCTTTGTCTGTCTGCCTGTCTGAGAGACAGATAGAAATAATGCTGTTCAGGAAACACTTTTCACCTTTACAGCTACTTGAGCTGTTGGAACAACTTCTGATTCATTATTTAATCAGGGATCCCAGTTCCCAGAGATGACTTGTCGACACCGAAAAAGCTGGGACACGAACAAGAGCAGCAAACAAAGCACCTTTTTCAATTTGGAACTCATTTGGAAATGAGAGAGAGAGAGAGAGAGAGAGAGATGTTTGTCGAATGGAAAATGACAACATTACACCATAATTCATGTTCTCATTTCCCAAATGACATTATAAGCAAACAAAATGTGAATACAGACAGCGCAGGGGGCTGCCTTTGCAACCCTGCATGGGCTGTTCAGATCTTTCAATCAAAAACGCTCATGTGCTTATCCCCGGGATCTCACCATTCTTTAAAAAAACCCAAAAACCTTCCAGTTTGGTTATTAACAAAAGAAATTCAGAAACATACACAGAATGCAATTAGTGTGGCAACGATGTAAGAGCCTACAGAGTCCCAGGTTTAGAAAGAGTTACAACCTTTGAAATGCATTGTCTTCAGTGTCTTTAGGAGGGTGTGAACAGGTCTTAAGATTGCATTGTATGGGCATAACTACCAACTACAAAACAAGCCAAAAAAGCAGATGTACTGTTATGTATTGAGCCTAAGCCATTCCTCAAGCTATACCTAGAACGGACTGAGCTTGCTTCCCTAGAACAACAGCTCGCCTGGATCCACGAACTAACCAATAGATAAGAGGTGTCATGTAAATAGCCTATCACTGGGAGTGTGTGTGTGTTGGGTGTGGTGTTTTGCATGCTTATAAGCAGGGCTCCAGCCCTGCTAGCATGTCCTGTAGTTTGCGGAAATCACTTAATAAACCAGAGCTGATCACTGCAATGCATCTAGAACTCAGAACTTGTCCCTTCCCTGCAGCATATCCAGCTTCCCTTGTCAGGGATGAGAGCAGAAAGGGGTGGCATTAATTGAGATTGACCAGTGCATGAGGCAACCTCAGGGCTGGAAAACCTCATCCTTCCAGACAAAGTCCAGGGGCACCTTTAAGACTCACAAAGTTTTTATTCAAGGTGTGAGCTTTCATGTGCAGGCACACTTCCTCAGGTACAATGAAATGTAATTACAGATGGATTTCACAGCCAGGAGTGAAATCACAGGATCTATTGGCTGAACGGATTTGGATGGGCCCAGGCCACCAGAACCCCTGACCTAGACTGGTGAAGATCATTTTATACACGTGGGAGAGAGTACTGAAATTGAGCTGTTTTTTCTTTGTCTGTCTGCCTGTCTGAGAGACAGAGAAGCTGTTAAATGCTGGGTTCCATGGATGGTCTGACCCCCAAGCCTAGTGATCAGCTCTCCTTTATTAGTGATTCAGCAAGAACAAAAAGTGAAAAAGCCAGGGCAACCGCCCTGTTTAAATAGCATGCAACTCCACCCACTTCCCCAAACAACTACCAATGATAGGCCATGGTCAGAACCATTAACTCCTCATT